TTTTCATATTTTATAAGGCTGTGCAAAGTTAGCCCATACCCCGGTTAACATAGGACATAATTTAGACACCCATGAAAAATCCTTTAATGTTTAAAAAAATAAATTCTTATAATAACGGTTTTTGAATAGTCCAAATAAAATTTCTGGCAAGTTTTTATAAATAGTAGATACGTTTTAAGCCAATTTTTAGAAACACAAAGCAAAAAATTTCAACTTTTTGAAACTTTTTGATTTCAACTAAAAGACAATAAATAATTTTTTTTTGAATAATTTTTAAGATTTCACCAATTTATATGTCTTTTTCCGAGACTTATTTATTTTATTTTATTTATCGGAAAACTCGTTCAAAAAAGTCTCGCTTTAGTGTCACTCTTTTAAGATTGATATAGGTAAAAACAGTTCAAAATTTAATTTGAAGTCATATGTTTAAGATGTTTGGTAACTATTAACAACATTTTTAACAATTAATTTAATTTTAGATTTTCATTACTGAGATCTCAAAAATATGTCATAAATTGATTTTTTTAAATTAGTTTAATTATGAGTTTAGTTCAAAAACTAAAAGATTCCACTAGATTCCATGGTAGTTTTAATATTTTTCCATTAATAGGTATATATGAAAGCAGAAAAAATAAAAATCATTTGCCCCAACTTGCCCCAATTAAAATAAGACCTTTTAAATACTTCGTTTTTTTTTGTATTTTTTTTTTTTCCCGTTTTTAATTATAATTGCAAATAATACATTTAGTTCCTATTACTAAAAAACCTCATGCTCAAGCAGATGGTGCTAATTATCAAACCTCAAAACAAAAATATGCAATATTTAATGTTATAGTGCATATTTTAAAATTCAAACTTGCGTGTAAAAAAACTAACAATAGTTCATTGCTTACATTAAACATGAAAAGAATACATTTAGTCCCTATAATTCAAGAGTTAGGAATTAATCATAATAATTTACTCGAAGCTCTTATACGTGAGTTTTGTAGACTGGAGGGTGTGTACTATGAAAGTATTGACAAACCTAAAATGTTAAATCTAAAGAAAACTCTAATAATATTTAAATGTAAATTCCGATCAAAATTGCAGAAATATTCAAGAACCTTCTCTAGACTTTTGGAACACGAGCAAACTTGGTTGAACAAAGATGTAACTGTTGACAAAAAAAACTTTGCAGCAGGTCTAGGCAGAAAGAGCAAGAACTGGGAAGATTTAGGTGATAGAAGCAGAAGATCTAAGGTAATAATAAATAAATTAAGTTCAACCCAGTTTGAAAAAATAGTTTACAAACTTAAATATTAAATAATGTCTTGTTTAAGGTTACCAAACTGGCTGAACATCCTGCTGAAGTATTGGCATTAGCTTCAATTAAAAAAGCCACTAGAGATCCAACCAAAAAAGATTTCGTTGTTCTCATGAAAAGTGCAACAAACTCTGAAAAAGTTAATATCACGGAGATAAATTTTCCGATAAAAATGAAAACCGAAGATGCCTTAAGCTTAAATGTTTAGTGTGACCTTTCTCATGAGCAGTATCAAATTATTAGAAATTCATCAATAATACATAATGCAGATATTTATCCTTCACTTCACAAAATGAAGAATGAGAGACACAAGTGTTATCCTGAGGGTTTAATTGTGACAGAAAAATCTGCTTCAACTCCTTTACAGGGTATGTTTAATCATACTCTGACAAGAATATTAACTTTTACGGAATGCCAAGACTCTATGAGAATGTTTGTAGAAATTGGGGGGAAATTTAAAGGTGTACTTTTGGGGGGAATTGGGGGGAAGTTTAAAGGTGGCTTTGATGGTGCCTCTAGTCAAAGTGTCTATAAACAAAAATATACTGATACAAATATTGGTGAGGCCCAAGTTTACGAGCAAAGTCTTTTCCTGATAGCTATTGTTCCACTTAAATTAACCATCTCGAACAAAAATATATGGTTAAATAAGAAGCCTTCCAGTACACATTACTGTAGACCCTTACATCTTCAATATCAAAAAGAAACGGAAGAATTGATATGAAATGAGTATGAACTTTTAAAAGCAGAAATGAATAAACTAGTCAAGTTTGAAGTAAAGTTAGGAGTAAAGGAAGGCAAACCGGATACGACAATCACATTTAAGTCCAAACTAGATTTAACCATGTTTGATGGTAAAGTGGTAAATGCCCTCACTAACACTCTGTCCTCCCAATCATGTAATATTTGCGGATCTAAGCCCAGTGAACTTAATAGCCCAGAATTGATCAGATCTAAACCAATTAATGAAAAAGCTTTATCTTTAGGCCTTTCTACTCTGCATTGCTGGCTAAGATCTTTTGAATATATTTAACATTTAAGATATAAGTTAAACATTAAAAAATGCTTTGCCAAATCCCCCGCTGAAAAAACATCAGTGAAAAGTAGAAAAAAGAACATTCAACTGAGGTTCAGAGAGGAGCTAAGTCTTATAGTTGATGTGCCTAAACAGGGTTTTGGCATCACTAACGATGGAAAAACTGCCAGAAGGGCATTTGAAAATGCTGAAACTTTCGCTGATATAACGGGAGTGTCAGTAGATGTAATTATTAGATTGAGGACAATCCTAATATCAGTATGCTCCTGTTATGAGTTAAACTCAGAAAATTTTGTCCAGTATTGCTATGAAACTACAGCTCTTATACTCAAAAACTATTGCTGGTATATGATTCCCCTAACTGTTCATAAACATGGTGTTCAGATATCTGAGGCATTAGAACTGCCAATTGGTTACTACTCTGAAGAGTCACGAGAGGCTCTATCATAAGATAATTCTAGAGCTAAATTAAAAAAGCTAGATTAAACCATACAGCCAAGATATCAAGAAAGAATGTTATGAAAAATCAGTACCAATGCCTCTTGATTAGAAGTGATCTTGTAATATCAAAGATTTGTTTCAAAAAATATAAGGTTGAAAATAGAAAAACACTTACCCCTGAAGTTTTATCTTTGTTAATGCTGTAATAATGAAATAAAGCTTTTTTATAACTTTAGGTTTTCTTTTTTTGTTTTCTTGAAAGAAAAGTTAGATGAGATAAATATTTATTTTGTATTTAATATACTTTAATATTATTATAATATTAAAAGATTTTTTAAATCCAATTTTTGTTTGAATCCAATGTTTTGGTTTGAAGAATTCAACTTTTTTAAATTAAGTCTTTGTGCGCGTAAAAGACTACAACACGTATACGCTTGTATACGTGTTAGAGTCTTATATGCGTGTACGACCTTAAGCACAAGAAAAATTTACATTAAAAAATAAGTGGTATTTTTTTATATGGTATTTTGGATCAAGGAATGCGATTTATTTATTTAAATCATATTTTGCGCGCGTAAATGACACTTACACGCGTAAGCTTGAGTTGTACGCGTCATAGGTATGCGTAAAAAATATTTTCAATAACAAATTTAAATTTTTTGACCCAAAATACAATAGTATTGATATATCACACGTTTATATATGATAGTTATATAATTTTTTCCGTTTTTTCACCTTTCTGACTCACTGTGCGTCGGTAAGGCAAGTAGCCGGATGACGAAATAAACTGCAATACCAAGTTGCTTTTTATAATGGTTGGTTTTTTTAAATTCTTCCAAAGGATATTGAATAAAACTGATATGTAATATCAAAAAATGAGTTATTGAAATCATCTGAATGGCTTTAGCTCCATAATGGTACATTATTTGCACCATTAAAAAAAAGGAAAATACTTTAAGAGATCAGAAATTCTTGTGATAAAGATCTTGTAATGTTAGCTAAAGAAGATTTCACTAAACTGTTAAATTCCTAATAATATCTTTATGTTAAAAATCAAGAAAATATTTAGTAAATTTTTATTATAAACTGCATATTAAAATATGTGCTAGATCATTAATCTTCAGATCAGACAAAATGGACGTGTTTACGTCTGATCTGAAGATTAATCTTCAGATCAGACAAAATGGACGTGTTTACGTCTGATCTGAAGATTAATCTTCAGATCAGACAAAATGGACGTGTTTACGTCTGATCTGAAGATTAATCTTCAGATCAGACAAAATGGACGACTTTCCATTTTGTCTGATCTGAAGATTAATGATCTGTGTAAGCATAAAAATATTTTTTAAATTAAAAAACAAAAGTCTATTCGTGTGATGTATAAATGCATCTGAAGTTAAATTTATAACAGACTACAAAATACATGCAATTATTTTACTTTTTATATTAGTTTTTACTTTTAATATTTTAATATGACGTCAATATGCATAAACGGAAAATAACATCAGTACAAAAAGTTATATATTTTATAAGCCATCTCAAAGACAATCCCTGTTTTAATTAACAAGTTAAAGATTTTTAAAATAGGCTTTATTATAGCAAAAAAAAGGTACAGCGTTGCCGTCATTACCCAGGAACGCTGTACCTTAAGTTTTTTTTCTCCCTCCAGTGTTTTAAAACCGTTAATCTCACTTTTCTTAATTCAAGTTATTATCTGTAACGATATTGCACTTATTCAACTTAGAGACTTTTTTTAATGTTTACGTTTGTTTGACCAGTGGTAAAAATGGAAAGTGGTTGTTAAAAGTTAGGTATAAAGATGAGGTAACTTTTTTTTGCGTAGTTTAATTAAATTTCACATTGAAATAAATAGATTCTCATCAATCAAACAGCTGTTTAGACTCAAACCAATTGCAAGTTTCAAATTTTTTATTTCCAAGCTTTAACATTTTTACTACAATTTAGAGACTGTCCAAAATTATGCAAAAGTTTATTAAATCAACAAAACAAAAAGGATCACATGTTTTCCCTCGCAAAATCTAGAATTAAGCTACAAATCTGCTGAGTTAAAATATCTGTTTAATGTCAATGAAAATAGCCGCGCTAAAGTGCAAATGATATTTTTATATGTATTTAAAAAATAAATTTAGCGTTGCACAATTTATGGATATTCACTCAATAAATAAACAATAAATAACAAAAATAAAAGATTCTTTTCACCTAAAGTATACAACGGTGTTGTTCCAGCTCCCATAATAAAGTTTGCAATGAAGAATACCACAGCATTAATGTTGTTCACTGGCATTATCTCACAATCCATTGTTGTTTTGTTTAGTCTGCAAATATCTATTTCATTTTGTATTACATTTTTTGGATAGTAATCACCGGAAATAAATTTGGGCAGTGCAAACATTAACGCTCCAAAACCTAATTTAAAATAAACCAAAAAAATCAAAAAATATTAAAACTTATATTAAACAATTTTCTAGAATTTTATAGTTAAGACCTTAGTTTTAGATTTTTTTTTTTTTAAGTAAAAAGTTCAAACTATTTACAAAAAGAGTTTTGTATTTACTTTTGTATTTTATTATTATTATTTGTTTTATATAAAAAACTACATTCAGTTTTGTAGTTATTCAAACTATTTACAAAAAGAGTTTTGTATTTATTTTTGTATTTTATTATTATTATTATTTTTAACTTAAAAACTACATTTAGTTTAACAGTTATTCAAACTATTTACAAAAAGAGTTTATGTTGCTTTAAGTAACCCTTTGTTTTTATTCAAATAAAAAAAAGGAAACAAAATATGTATCAATTTGTAAATTTTTATATTTACGTTATAATGCGATATTTACCAGTTTGTAAATTTTTTTTTTTTTATTTAAGAGAGTTTTTCTTTTTTGCAAACTTTTAATTTTTTTTTCAAATTTTTTAGTTTTTAAAATCTTTTTATTTATTTTTTTTACAGTTTTTTGATTTACTCTTTTATGTAATATTAGAACTTGTAAAACTATTTTTTTCTCTATTTTACGAACGGGCTTGATGATAAGATATTTTGTCTTGAACTTGCATTATTCAGATTGTAATGAGTAATAATAATAAATAGATATCTATTTATTAGATCTTAAGTATAACATTGCAAAATTTGTGCAAATTAACAAAATAAAACTAACTAAAAAAATATATTTAAAAGCACGATAAAAATACATTTTTTAGTTTTTTTTAAAAAAGTATTTTTTTGGATGAGTTTCTATTTTTAAAAATGTTTTATGATATATTTTTGTATTCAGCTGTAGAAGTGATGAAAAGTTAAACTAAAATAGTTTTACCAGATAGACAATTTTCAAGCAATAATTCTCATACCAACGTGGTCATTAGAATGAACAAAATTAAGCACTGACTGGGCATCATATTGAACAAAATTGACTACTGACTGGAAATTTTTAACATGTTATTTTTTTTTTCTGCTTGGTCATCGAGATGATCACAATGAAGTTAAAGTCTTAAATCGTTAAATCATACCGGCAAGTATTTTCTGCATAAACAATTTGTCTACATTGTTGTATTCTTCCTGGCTGCATAAACAGTTTGTCTACATTGTTGTATGCTTCCTGGCTGCATAAACAGTTTGTCTACATTGTTGTATGCTTCCTGGCTGAATAAGCAGTTTGTCTACATTGTTGTATGCTTTTGCTACTTTGCATTCTACAAATTGCTATAAATTTTAGTTAAACTGTTAGTTTTAAGTCTGTACTGAAGCGCATTTTAGTTTAAATCAACTTTAAAGAATCCTCCAGACTGTTAATAAGGGACTCAGCCTTACAGAAATTCAGTTGGTGTAGCTCGAGGCATTTTATTAAATAAATTGAGAATTACTTTGTTTTTAAGACGGCGCTGACAATTTGAAAGGTTAGCAAAGTATTTAGGGTTCCTATTTGACATTTTCTTAAAAAAAGATTGTAAAAACTATTTAAGTTCATTTTATCTACTCGATCTCTAAGAATAGCTAAGCAATCTTCTTTGGTGAACCTTAAGCAAGTGCAATGAACTTTTAAACAATAGATTATTATGAGTTTTGTTAACATTTTAGGTTTTATCTTGGACAACTGAGATTAAGCTAAGTGCTCTGCAGTGTGTAAAAGATGCTTTGGGTTCCTATATATAAAAATTTTAGACGCAGCTACATTACCAGACATAACAGTAGCGCATAACAATCTCACTGGTCGTCTTAAAAATGTTCATAGATTCATAAAAGCTAAAAAAGATAGGACTACCCAAGCAGCTTGTATTTTTAGCCAAATACATTTTGCGTTTGTTAGTACAACTGAATTGAACTTCTAGTTAATTTAAGCAAGTTTCTTTATTTATCGTACCAAGCAAACATGGTTGGTGTCATGTTGATGTAATTGTAACAAACGCATTTTTTGTAAAACATTGATGTACCACATTATGTCGCAATCCATTATAGTTGTTTTGTTTAGTCTGCATATATCTTTCAAATATATTTGAAAATATATTTCATTTTGTATTACATTTTTTGGATAGTAATCATCAAAAATAAACTTTGGCAGTGCAAACATTAACGCTCTAAGACTTAACTAAAAATAAACCAAGCAGCTTCTATTTTGTATCTTGTGGCGCTGTTTGTATCTTCTGGCACTGTTTACAATATAATGAAAACACTGTGAGTATAGATGTTTAAAAATTGCATTAATCAAGCTTATTAACATTAAAACGCATTAACTAGTTGTAAATGACCAAATGTATAATTGCACATTCTAACATTCAGTGCAATATCTACCCGCTATCTTTATTCTATCTTTTTAACTCAACTTTTTTAGTCTATCACTCTAATATTTTTCGTTCTTCATTACTCTTGGTCCGTCGAAGTAGGGTATGATGCATCTAGTGAGGTGAACTTTTTTTCGTCGGCCTTGAAATGAGTCACTAAATGGCTGCTAGCCAGAAGAAGATAAACCACAATACCAGTTTATTGTTATCGAATGGTGCATCTATAGATGTATTCTGTTTTAGGTATATCTATAACTTAATGTTGTCTAACTATCGAAATTTTTTTTTTCATCTTTTTAATTGTTTGTTACTCATTTTTTAAATTGTACATCTTTATTTTTTAAACGCACCTATTTATGGTCTATGGTTTCAGTTTACGGCGCTCTATTTGGAGTCAAATCTGTCTAATGCGGTATTTAACCTTCATTTATAAAATTAGCTCAAGGATAAAAAACAAAAAGCTTTGACGTAACTAGCCAAAAAAACTAAAGTTAACAAATTTTCAACATTTAGTAAATTTGTCAAACAATAAACTATTTTTTCGACCGTATTTTAAACGAGATCTTTTTTTTGTAATCGTGCATAAAAGTCAATAAAAAGATTTAAACCACTAAATTCAAAAAATAATTTTTTTCTTATTTTTTTAAAAAAGTTTTTTTTTATGATCATTAAAATTAATAAAAATTAATAAAGTAAGTGATTAGTTAAAACCAGGGCTGTACAAAGGATTTGGGGGCCCGAGCATCCTTTAATTTGGAGGGAGGTGGAACCCACCTCCCTCCCTCCTCCAAAAGAAAAAAAAGTCTCAAAGTTTTTGATTATATTAATATAGTTAAGTAGTCCTTAACTTAGCTTCGTTCAACTTCATTTTTCTTACAACTTCATTTTTCTTTCAACTTTATTTTTCTTTTAACTTCATTTTTTTTACAACTTCATTTTTTTTTTTACAACTTCATTTTTTTTACAACTTCATTTTTCTTTCAACTTCATTTTTCTTTCAACTTCATTTTTCTTACAACTTTATTTTTCTTAAAACTTCATTTTTCTTACAAATTAAATTTTCTTACAACTTTTTTTTTCTTGTCTTTTACTTTGCAAACTCTTCAATGACATCATGGAAGTTAAGATTTTGTGTTATTAGACATACTTCATACTCAAAATGGTAGGATAAAATATTTTTATTGTCCCGTAGTTGCGAGCAAAAAATTCTTCATGAAATTTAATTAACTGAATGAACGCTCATTTGAGGCCACTATCACTTGAGGCCACTGTCACTGGAATTAAAACAAAAATACGCAGTGAAATCACTACATTTCTGAAGAGTTCCCGAAACTTAGTTTCAGAAACTTTGTTTATTAAGTCGAATGAGGCAAAAGGTTGTTTTTCAAAGTTTGATGTATGAGTTTATTTCATGTGAAGAAACTCTTTAGTCAATTCATTTTCAGTCACGTCACATAAGCATTTCATTTAACATTTGTTCAGTATGACTTACATCAGGAGTGGCACCAAACATAATTGAAAAACACTTCGCAGACTCACTTTCTTCTACAATTCTCCTGCAAATCTCAGCTGCACAAAGGCCACTGAATATAGCATTTTTTATGGGCTTTTGAATTTTCATGCTCAAGAATTCGACTGATCAGATACTTCCACTTTTTTTCATATCCCCATCTTCCAATCATTTCAAGGGATGAAGTAGAGTGTGGAACTTGATTTCCAGGTGAAAATAATTGACATGGAAAACAAAATACTGCTGTCTTTGCTGGGCTAAATACAAGCCAAATCGCAAAAAAGATTCCCAATTTGGCATTCTGCTTTTCAAAACAGACATAGAAAATATGTAATTTCTAGTATACTTTGGCATATCTAGTGGAAAGGGAATGTGACTAGCCCAAAAAAATCTTGTCATCTAAGTAAAGGAAATTTTTTCAGTTTCAAAGGACATCTGATGTCTTGGGAGTAGCTGTAGTTCCATAATGAAATAATTTTTTTTCCCACAAAATTCAAGATCAGTTTATAACTAAGATTTAAAACATAATAATAAATAAAACAAGTAATTAATAAAACAATACGGAACATAGATCCGCTTTTTTTTTTTTAGTGAAAGTACATCCTTGTTTACTAGAATAAATATTTATGAACCCTCCAACTCCACATGTCTCATTATAAAACAACTTGTATGATACAATAGTAAGCCATTGTATTGATGTTTAATATTGTAATCTATTAAAACAAGTTTTTCTTTTTTTTTTTTATGATATTAAAAGTAATCAAACTTATGTAATAATAATTCTTAAATTGCTATGTTTTTTTTCTAATTTTGAAACTCATCTAAAGAAATTTAGTTAAAAATTGTAAAAGCTAATAGTTTGAAGATACTTGATTTTGTAGGATTTGAATTATTGTCAATTTTTTTAAGTAAGTGAAAGATCTGAATTCACAAACATCTTTCACTTACTTAAAAAAATTGACAATAATTCAAATCCTACAAAATCAAGTATCTTCAAACTATTAGCTTTTACAATTTATAAAAGTAATCAAACTTATGTAATAATAATTCTTAAATTGCTATGTTTTTTTTCTAATTTTGAAACTCATCTAAAGAAATTTAGTTAAAAATTGTAAAAGCTAATAGTTTGAAGATACTTGATTTTGTAGGATTTGAATTATTGTCAATTTTTTTAAGTAAGTGAAAGATGTTTGTGAATTCAGAGTTCCACGGTGCTGTGACTGGACCGTTAGAACTTTATATTTTTGCAAATTACTCGAAGAAGTAAAAAATTAAAGTGAACTAAGACAAAACTATTTTTATTGTTGACGCTTTAAGGTATTGAATGAATAAGACAGACCTGAAAAAAACACAACCGTAAAAAAAATTTTAAAACTTATATACTTTAGAAAGGTTTTACAATCAGAAAACTTTTTTTAATCAAAAGATTTTTACCTGTAATAAAAGCACCTACTGATATCATAAACGCTTTGTTATGCACTGAACCAAAAAAGCTAACAAAGCCTACAACCATAAGAGATGATGCGTCATTCCCAGAAACTATTATTCCTATTACTTTGCTGTTTAAACCGAATTCTTTTTCAATACTTGCTATCGATGCTGTAACTATGCCATTAACCACTGCACCTAAATTATATATATACATATAATATATATATAAGCATTAAAACATCATATCGGTATCATACTATTTATTTCTATATATATATATATATATATATATATATATATATATATATATATATATATATATATATATATATATATATATATATATATATATATATATATATATATATATATATATATATATATATATATATATATATATATATATATATATATATATATATATATAATACAGTGGGGTACAGAATTATGACCTCACCTGTATAGAAACCTTAAATAAATATATATATATATATATATATATTATATATATATATATATACAGTGGGGTACATAATTATGACCTCACCTGTATAGAAACCTTAAAACTTGATCAACTTCTATTTGATCATTTTTTGAAATAAACAAAATTTACAAGAATCTATCTATACTTTAATTGACTCAAATTATAAAAATTAATACCGTGGATCACAATTATAACCTCGTTATCTAAATTGAATCAAAAGCCATCAAAAATAGCTGTAAATTCTTTTTTTAATTAAATTTATTAAGATTATAAAATACATTCTAACAATTGCCAAGAGAAATTATACTTTCCGATGAAGAAAATGGCAAGATCGAGGGCTACAGGTAATTGGGTTTATCAAACAGCAAAATTTCTTGCAAACTGAGACGCTCACAACTTTGATCAATAATTTGGTAAATGATCCAACAAATTATAGCACGAAGCATCGAAGTGGTAAAAAATCTATACTTACAGCTCGCCAACAGCAACAAATTCTGCAAGCCGCTAGTAACCGTACAACCTTCGCGAGACAAATAGATGGTGATTTGGGATTGAAATGCTCAAAATGAACGGTGAATCGTGTAATTAACAAGTCAGATATTCTTAGATATGCAAAAAAACGCACATCTCCAGCGCTAACTGAAGCACACAAACGTATTTGTCTTCAAAAGGCCAAGGACCACATGACTTGGGAAAAAGAATGACAAAAAATTGTATGGTCCGATGAAAAAAAATTCAATCTTAATTGTCCAGATTGCTTCAATTACTAATGACATGACATTAGAAAAGAGAAAATGTTTTCAAAATGAAGGGCTATGGGAGGCGGAGGAGCAATGATTTGGGGTGCGTTTAGTTATTTTGAAATAACTTCAATATGCTTTATTACTACTAAATTAATGCTGAAGGAAATTTGTTGAATGGTCATTTAAATGATATTTTGCTAAAATTTGATAACACCAATTTTATTTTCCAGCAAGATAATGTATATATCCAATTCATAGAGCAAAGTCAAATATCTCATGGTTTACCAGCAAGAAATTTCAATTATTAGAATAGTCAGCGCTTTCACCTGATTTTCATCCATTTAAAATGGGATGGAAATCAGGTAAAAGCGCTGATTTCCATCCCATTTTAAATGGATGGAAATCAGGTGAAAGCGTTGATTTCCATCCATTTTTGGATGGAAATCAGCGCTTTCACCTGATTTCCATCCATTTAAAATGGGATGGAAATCAGACATGTACAATTGCCTTTTTCAATTCATCAACATTCGAATATTGTTTCCTTTCTGCACAAACACATCTTGCTAAGATGCCCCATCCCATTTTAAATGGATGGAAATTCCATCCATTTAAAATGGGATGGGGCATCTTAGCAAGATGTGTTTATGCAGAAAGGAAACAATATTCGAATGTCGATGAATTGAAAAAGGCAATTGTACATGTTTGGAAGAACATATCTCTTGCAGATTTTAGAAAACATTTTGAAAAGTATGCCTAATCGAATATTTGAAGTTATTAAGAATAGCGACAATAAAACAAAGTATTAATAATAAATTCAAATTGCAATAGAAAACATTATGGAATTTTGTAGAGTAAAATTGAAATGAGGTAATAATTTTGCACCATTATTTTTTTTAAATTTTCAAGTCAATTAACAAAATGAAATCAGACTCAATTACAAATGAAATATTAATTAAGGAAGATATTAAGCAATTGAATAATTTAAAAATATTTGTTTAATTATTTGTGACACCTCACTGTATATATATATATATATATATATATATATATATATATATATATATATATATATATATATATATATATATATATATATATATATATATATATATATATATATATATATATATGTATATATATATATATATATATATATATATATATATACATATATATATATATATATATATATATATATATATATATATATATATATATATATATATATATATATATATATATATATATATATATATATATATATATGTATATATATATATATATATATATTTATATATATATATATATATGTATATATATATATATATATATATTTATATTTATATATATATATATATATATATATATATATATATATATATATATATATATATATATATAAATTTTGACAATCTGACCAATTTCTTTAAAAATTATCAGCGGTTATCATGAATTATAAAATGATGCCAACCTACCTGACCTAAGAACGTCATTTATATGGAAAGATAACGAACATATTAATGTACTCTGCAATGCAAATTATAAAACATTTTAGTTTTGTCTAATTTTTTAATTTTCTAGGAACACCTACATGAAAAAATAATAAATTTTATTTCTCTCCAAACTGGAAAACTGTGAGAAAACCAACTGTTTTTCATATTAATTTAGATAGCAGCCGTGGCGCAGTGGTAGCGCACTTGCCTCAGAAACGTAAGATCCGTGGTTCAAACCCCACCTCTGGGCAGGCTTTGCGACATCGGTTGGGAAGGAGGCGTGAACTTCCTATTAAATGCTCTTCCGCGGTGCTCTGTGATAAGACCGTAAGGACTTCTTGGGGCACCTAAAATCAACATAAAAAAAAAAAAAAAGATAATTGAGGAATAATTGAGGAATAATTGAGAAATAATTGAGAAATAATTGAGAGATACCGGAGAGATAATTGAGAGATAATTGAGAGATAATCTAGAGATAACTAAGAGATAATTGACAGATAATTGAGAGGTAATTGAGAGATAACTGAGAAGTAATTGAGAGATAACTGAGAAGTAATTGAGAGATAACTGAGAAGTAATTGAGAGATAACTGAGAGGTAATTGAGAGATAACTGAGAGATAATTGAATTTAAAAAATTAGAAAAAGATAACAGTTTGCTAAAAGATTTGGAGGAGCGATCTTGTTTGGAAGCCCAAAAATTTTTAGCGATGAAAAACGAGGAAAATTAATCTTTACAGATTAGGTATGTCTTGAAATAAAATTTGTAAAAATTTGATAAAAATACACAAAAAGAGAAGCAGTTATTCTAAAAGAGAAAGTCTCTATCAAAAGAGAAAGATGTTATTATGGTGATAATAGTTCTTTAAACAGCAGTTAAAATCTTGTTTTGAACTGTGTCATTGAATAAGATCTCTTTTAAATTGTCTTAAGTATTATTAATTTAAATATTTTTTTTAAGATTTATTCGAAAATTGTTTCCTTGTAATGCAAGTAAACGTTTCCTTGATTTTTATAGTTTTTAATTATAATATTTGTGTTAAGTGGATTTTTATCCAATATAAATTTAATTTGTAAAAATCATTTAATTTAGTGAAGTTAGAATTAGTGAATTGCAACAATGGCAAATCAAGCAAAGATTCATGATAAAAATTCAAAAGTTTGTGGCTTTGTCTGAAAAAACTTTTAAGGCAGTTTACTGCTTTTCAAGCAGATCTAGTATGCCACCTATATAAGAGCAAGATCAATATCAGTAATTCTCGGGTACCACAAGGACTTTGAATATTTTGTAAAACTACTTTGCGCAGGAAAAAAAAAGTAAAAGGAATTGCACTCCATCTTTTTTTGATTTTAATTCAAAACAAGTGAGAACAAAAACAAGAGGCATGATGTTTTGTTGCCTGACTGGCAAAAATACTGGAATCAAGAGATAAATTCTTGTTTTGGAAGAGTATCCATAAACTCACTCCAATGTTAGAGAATCTGGTCTCTGATTAATGCAAATAGAGTTATCTAATTTTAGCTTGTGATATTAAAATTAATAATATAATTTGTAGTCTTCTCTAATACCCTTACACATGGTGTGTAGTAAACGACCGGGGCTGATATTTGACCTGAGCCAAAGCCGGTTTTATGGCTGGGGCTGTATAAATATCGGTGCATATTGATATGATATATAAAAGCAAGTCAATATGCACCAATTTTAATGCAGTCCAGTCCGTAGAACCGGCCTTGGCTACAGTCAAATACCAGCCCCGGTCGTTTACTAATGGTGTGACATCAAATCCAATTTCTTTTCAAATCTGAAAACTTGCAAACTATGGACTCAATAAAATCTAGCTAAGAGTCTTTTTAGCAATCTGGAGGCGTTGTTGCTAATACAAAGCTGTTTAGCAATGTTCTTTGAAAGACATTATCAGTAGGCTTGAAAATGTTCTAATTATCCCGCCGATAGAATTGCATTGTCTCTTGGAAATTATCAATCATCTTTTCAAAATCCTTTTAACTGCTTGGATTAAAGTAAAAAGCTGTTAAGTGGCCAGCTACCACCCACATTTAATTGAGCTTACATCATTAGGGCCATTTTAACAGAAAATTAGTGCAGGACGTTTCTTAAAAATGTGGATATGCTACAGCTGATACAAACATGGTTCCCTATATTGTTCTCATAGCTGACGGATTTAAAAGTTTCAATTTAGTTGTTAAGGTTTGATTTGGATTCAGTCTTCACTAAGATCTCGTCTAACTCTCAAAGTTCACACTGTTTTCTACTAATTAGGGATTTCATCAGTCACAATGGATCCCCCTTAGGGACCTATAGCAAAAATACTGTTGAGCTGCTCATTATAGATTTTTATAAACAGTAAACATCCAGCATATATATAAAGATTGTAGCACAGCATGATCTGAACAGTAAGTAAGTAGTAAGCATCTTTAACAAACTTCTTGTATAATTTGAGTTATTAGAGATTAGGTAGTAAAAATTATTAACTTATGGTTTATAATGAGCATTTTCATCGTCTTAGTCCTTAAATGATAATAGTTTAAAAATTATGAATCTTGATATTACATTTAAATATAGTATTGTAGAGTATTTTTACTAAAAAAAAAAAAAAAGCTATTTATTCAAAAATTTAATTTAAATTAAATATAAATTTGTGGAAAAAATTAAGGAATAAGTCAGATGCTAATTGATGGAAATTACACTGTTTAATACAAAAGTTTAAATAATTTTCCTACAGAATTTTTAAAATAAATCTATTTAAAATAGTTATTAGAGTCAATAAAAAATATTTTATCAAAAACTTTTTTTGTTTCTTTTACAAACTAATAGACTACATTTGCACTAAATTTATTAAACTTTATAAAATGGTTCTCATTCTACAGGTGTTTTTATTGACGCACTTTGAAATTTCACTCAGTTTGAACATTCAAATTAAATATTTTTTTTCCAGACAAAATTAAAAGAATTCGAAATTTGCATCACAGGGTACCTTGATATGTACGCTAACTTTCCATATAAGTGGCATTCTCGGGTCAGCTAGGTTGGAATTATCAGTATCCATGATAACCGAGTGTATTGATGCTCAAAGTTGATTTTAAAAAATCCCAAAACTCCCAGCAAAAACCACTTTTTGAATACCAATCAATGATATTTGATTGTAGCGAGAGTTAGATCAATACTAGCGCTTTGATTATTGTGCGTATTTGGTTCTAAAATAAATTTTAATAATTTCTTTAGTCAACTTTTTAAAATTCTGACGAAATAAAAACGTTCGATAAAAAATATTTTTCAGTATATCTCAAAAGATAATTTAATTATTTAGTCAAATAGAAAATTGTCGTAAAAAATTAGGAGGTTTTTATCCAAACCTCAGGATGATTTTTATTGTTTTTAAGTTTTTTTTTAAAGCAAATCTTTTACTTGAGCAGGTTTAAATTAAATAACATATTTAAGGCATTTTAAAATGCACAACTTAATAGAGATGTCACGAATATTGATTTCGCCGAATATCGAATATTTGGCCACGCGCTCGGCCAAAGCACCAAATATTTGGTTGCCAAATATTCGGCAACACAGTTATTTTGATGATTCCAATCTGCTTAATTAAAGTGCACATGTAAACTACGATATGGGTGTTTTTGTTTTATTTATGACTAGGTCTTGCCACAGCATGCATTACTTGTTGAGTGTTACCCCAAATTGTTTTAACTATAGTTATGTATGAGTTCTTTAAACAAAAAGATTACAAAAAGAATTTCAAGGGATTAGTTATAACACAACAAGCAAAGCAAAACAAAAAAATTAAATGTTCTGAGAAAGATAAAGTCAGTGAACGGTTAATTTTGCCCGGTGAAAGGCTGCATGACACAGATGAACCATCATCGGTACTAGCATCACTGGCGATGATTCAGTTCTACTTCGTAAGAAAAAGAACTGTAAATAAAAAAGATCAAACCAATCTCTAAAAAAAAGTATGCACAGTTTTATTACTGTCTTATTGCTTTATTGCTTATTATTAAAAAAAAGTATGCACAGTTTTATTACTGTCTTATTGCTTTATTACTTATTACTTATACTTATTACTTATTATTGTTTTTTTTTCGTGCTCTTTAACTCTATTTCAAATAATAGAGTTAAAGAGCAAGGAAACGGAAAATATGGAGATGGTATTTGCACTAGCATGCCAAGCTTTATCAAAAGTCTTTGATATTTCATAAACAATAGGCCCTTGCCTTGTATTTATCTAATTCACGATAAAATCTTTCAGTCACAGCAGTTAGCAAATCAGCCGTAGAGCGAGAAAATTAAAACCCTTATTGAGGAAAAAAACTAGACAAATAATAGCTTTTAGAGAATGCAGGGACAGATAAAGTAAAAAATGAGACTGCTGAATGATGAGTAAAGCATAAATGAGTATTGGTTGATGGAACTAGTGATGACAGTGACGAATATGAAATTTGTTGACGTAGAGAATGGAATCATGAGTAAGAAAATGGAGAGCAGGATATAGAAAAACAACCTTTGCTTATGGTAACCTAATAATTGATTGTATATATGGTCTCCATGATATGCCAATTATGACTATAGTTTAAGAAGACATAAAGAGGAGGACTCAGTGAGAAGTATTTCATTAATCAATATAGGAATGTCGGCAGCATTTCAATAGTTGCTTGCAGTAAATAAATAAGTTTTCTTGGAGTTAAAATTCACAAGCAACATTAAAATTCCGGACAAAATTGTTCTTTTGAATCGGATCTAACTTCTTTAACAGATTGGGACTGCAAGTCCGGAAAAAAAAATATTTAATTTGAATGTTCAAACTGAGTAAAATTTCAAAGTGCGTCAATAAAAACAGTAGTGTAAAGTTGAGTCATCAGCAAATAGAGCTACTTTTGATATAAGGTTGTCAGGAAGTTCATTAATGTAGATAAGATACAAAAAAGAATCAAAGAAAAAACCTTAAGGTACCTCAAAAATACTGGAAATAAAAAAGAACGTTGGCCTTCAAGTATGACTTATGGAAAAAACTTGTTTTTAGCAAACTTTCTCCATAAGTTTGCTCATTTAAGCAGCGACCATGATTTATTTGTATTTGTAGAAAAGAGAAAGAGATGCAACTTTACGAAAATGGGATAGAGGCTCAAGTTTGCCAGATAGTTCGGGTTAAACTACGTTTGCAATGCGTTTTTGGACTTTGTCTAGAAAGAAAAGAGCATCGTTAGAGTTAACAGTATTCTATACAGGTTTCTATACACGGTAAAAAAAAGGTTTGCAGAGATTAAGAATGAAATCAGGAGTAAGAAAATGGCAATCACGGTAAAGAGAAGCAACCTTAGCAGATGCTAATTTAGCAATCAATTGTATGTATATATTTTTTGAGAGGTCAGTAGTGATAACACAACGGTAATACAAGTAGATGTAGAGAAAGGAACTCGGTAAGAAGGGTTGCCATTCATAAATTTAGGAATGTCAACAGTATATAGTTGCGATAATTGTTTGAAGTAAATAACTGATTTTTGTTGGAGTTAAAGTTCAGGAACCATTGCAACCCCCAATCTGTTACAGAACTAAGATCAGATTCAATATCAACTGCCTGTTCTATTCGATTATAAAGAAAACTGTTTTCAGTTGACTAATTTTTAGTTGATTTTTTTGGATATAGCAAAATAAAATTGACACTATCTGCAATTACAGGCGGTGTATTTGTTGATTTGATGAAGACTTGCAACACTATAAGCCATGGTCTTCTTTTTAATAAAATGAAACCATATGGAATATCAGGTAACAATTATAAATGGTTTGCCAGCTATTTTTTTGAAAGAAGTCAAAAAGGTTTTGTTGATAATAAATATTCTAAAGAGTTTTATTTAACAAGTGGAGTACCGCAGAGATCTATCCTAGGACGACTATTGTTTGCTTTATTTACAAATGATTTGCCTGAATGTTTTAGGTCAACAAAAATGATATCATATGCAGACGATGCCGTCATATACTATAGTTATAAACATCTAAATACTATTCAAGAGTGTCTAATATCGGAATTGAACAGTTTAACGTACTTTGATAATAATGAACTAATAATTAATCTGAATGAGGGAAATTGGAAGCAAATCAATTTGGATCCGCAAAAAAATGTAACAAGAACTTTGTTTAAGTTAAAAACAAGAAACAGTTAACTTTGTGAAATCATGTAAATACCAAGGATATAAAATGGATCCAACGCTTTCTTTTAAAAAATTATTTTAAGGAACTTTATAGAAAAGTGAACGATTTTTAAAAATTGCTAAGTAAATTAAAGTAAAGTAAAGATCTTCTTCCTGCAACGGTACCTCTCCAGATTTATTAACGAATGTTTCAATATTAACAATCATTCTTTAATAAATTCCAACATCAATCTTAATTTTACAGCAACACACAAACCATGTTAATTTGACAGAAGAGCAAAAGATATAATTGGTAGTCATCACAATCTAAAGGAAATTGAGAAAATCATCAAAAGAGACTCATGCTTATTTGTAAAAAAGTGTTTAGATAATGAACTATATGAAAATTTTATTAATCACTTTGAAACCATTAAACAAAAGAAATGTACCAGACAAGGAATATTGTTGAGACTTCTGAAAATGAAACTCGAAATGACAAAAAACTCTTTTTAATATGCAAGAACAAAACCTTTTAACCTTCGGACATTAGAAATACAGCAGAGCTATAATTATTTAAAAAAATCTAAACAACCACTTTTTTTTAAATCAGTTTTATCATACACTTTACTAATTTTAATACTTTCTATACTTTTTGTTATTTTATGTTAATTATAATTTTTGTTTTAAGTTGTAGTTTTTAAACAGGACACATTATGAAAGTGTATATCCTGTATAAATATCATTTTAATAAAATAAAAGAGTTTTTATCAAGACAGAAGTCTATAGTAGAGCCATCAGCAAATACTTTAGATGTAAGATTATCAGAAAGATCATTAATTTAGATAAGAAATAAAACAATACCAAGGATAAAATCTTGAGGTACCCCAGAAGCTACTGGAAATGAAGAAAATTGCTAGCCTTTAATGATGACTTAATAAAGCGGTTAAAATGAAATGATTTGATAATCTGAAAAATCTTCTAAGATACACAATAAGAAGCAAGCTTATGGAGAAGACCAGCGTGCCAACTTGATCGAAAGATTTATATATGGCAAGAGCAATAGCTCTAGCCATCTAATTCACAAAAAAATTTTACAGATAATGCAGTTAGCAAGTTAGCTGTAGAACGAGAGGATTGTAAACCGTAGTGTTTGTCAAAAAGTAAGTTATTTGACTCAAGATGGGATTTTAGAAATTTGTTAATCAAAGGCTCAAAGACCTTTCTAATAAAAACTAGAAGATTAAAAAGATTAAAAGAAGGTTAAAATGTTCTCCAGAGTTTTTTAAAATTGGAACGACAGATGCAGTTTAACAGCAGGAAGGAAAACAAAATTAAGTCAAGCACTTATAAAATAGTTTAAAGAGAATTAAAGACTGTTCTGGAAAACAGTTTTGTAAGGTATGTCGGAGTGATTTAAATGTCTAACAATGGCTAATTGCAATAAAAGGAAAAGTATGGCCATAAGATTCAAGAGTCAAATTAGAAGAAATATTCTTTTTAAGTAGTTCTGGCTTAGTTTTATGAATGAGAGAATGTTGGCCCTACCTTTGTTAATGACGCTGCTGAATATTTTCCAAAAGTCGAACTTCTGAGAGTAAATACAAGATTTAGTGAACTTTGAATAATGGAGCCTAACATTAGACAGCACCTTTTTACATCAATTTCTTGCAATAATAAGAACGATAAGGAAAAAATAGGTAATAGAGTGAAGAGGTGCTAAGCGTAAGCACATAAAAGAATGGTCATAGGATTCAAACCTGATTTCTCAACAAATCAATGAATCGATACGTAACTACACCCCAAACCAACATGTGTCTATTGTAGTCTTTGTGAATCAATGGATAGTACCCATCAATGTCTTACAAAGCAACCAAGTCTGGTGAACCTTGCAAGAGAACATTTATCTGATGGGAAGTTAATTCGCAGACCACGAATATTTGTGAAAGATATATTGAAACAGCAAATAAACTATGCCGTTGTCTTTGTCCTTCTAATTAACTTATGTGACCTCAACAAAAGCATTTACAAGGAAACCATCTATGCGCAACTTGGCACTGGTAATACTC